AGAGAGAGAGAGAGAGAGAGAGAGAGAGAGAGAGAGAGAGAGAGAGAGAGAGAGAGAGAGAGAGGTTGAGAACATTGTCAGGATCTAGGAAGAGAGAGGGTGAAAAATTGATAATAGTCTGTTGCTGGAGGTTGCTGAATGGTGGCAAGTGCATCCTCTTTTTGTTGTTCCTGTTGTTATTCTTAATCTTGTGTTTTACCTCCTCCTTCCATCTCTCCTCTGCCTACTTGCTAGTCTTGGAAACCCAGAAAGAAAGCAGGCAATGGAAAAGGTGGACAATGACATAAGAAAGACAGTTAAAGAGGATAGACTAAGAAAGCAGCAGCATACGAAGGAAGTGTTGATAGAAAGAAAGATTCCCTCGTCGAATTTCGGAAAATGTGAGAGGGTGGTTGAAGCATGACCAGTTACATGTCCTTTTACCCCCTGTGACTGAAACGACAAGATGAAGAGGTATTATATGCTTCTATCCTTACCTGCGCTGGCTAACATGTAGTATACATGAGCTCACAGGGAAATACACTGTGCAGTGTGCAGTAATAAATATTAAATACTAAATAGTGGTTTATATCTGCAAAATGATTGCGAGTCTTGTGACTAAAACTGGGAAGATGGAAGCGGTATGCATTTATCTTCTGAAATTGATGCTGACTCTGCTCTTTTCTGTTCCTACTGCCGACTCTTTTAAGGTATACAGAACTTCCAAGGGTTGTCTGAATTCCACTGCTCCTGTAGTCTACTTGTGATTATGTGGCTGGTCTTTCTGATATTGGAGAAGGTGCTTGTTTGTGTGGTGTTTGCTGTGGGGAATTGGGGGATGGTTTGTCCACAGTTGTGGCGGCTCGCATTGAGAGTGTGCACGTAACTTTCGAAAGGCTACTGTTCTGCTTTATTTGCTCCTTTTGCTGGTGTGTGTGTGTGCATGCGTGTGTCCGTCCATGTGTGTGCGTGTGCGTGTTTTCTGTGTGTGTGTGTGTGTGTGTGTGTGTGGGTGTGTGTGTGTGTGTGTGTGTGGGTGCATGTGCGTTGTTCTTTGTTTCTCTGTCTGTTCTTGACGTTTAGGGTTTTGCAGCCCCTTCCTCAGAGAAGCTGCTACCTGATCTCGCCCCTGAAGAAGTTGGTGTCTACACGCTGGTTTTGGACCTTGATGAAACTTTAATCTTTGCAGACTGGAGGGTGAGATCTTTGATCTGGCACCTAGTTCTCATGATGTCCTAAATACATGTCACGTGCTTGTGAATTTTGCAACCCCAGCTGTGGGAAGGTATCTTGCATTGTAGTTGTGAAATGCTGTTGTTCCATACAATACAAATCGCCTTTGGGAATCCGTTTATGAAATTTGCATTCTGCACATGATAGGATTCAAATGTTTTATCCCAAGTATGGGTGGATGTTTGTGTTACGTGAATTGCATTGTGTCGGCCATGGGCCTGTGTTAGAATATTCCAGTGGTGCATGGAAATATGTGGCCAACTTGTGTTTTCTGGGTCATGGTGTCTACGGTTCATTATTGCATGAGCTTTTGTTGATTATTGCATGAACTGTTGGGCCACCTTGCCGGGGGTTAAGACCAGTGAGCAGCCATCCCTACACTTGTAAAAATCGCTAACGTGAGAAATCTGCAATCCGGGCCGTCCCGGTCGTACCGGCCCGATGGTTCGGATTGATGAAAAGATGCCGATGAAAATGATGATGAAGAGCCCAAGCACCCCACCATGGCGATGCTGACTGATGAAAATGAGTTTGAAGACGCCGATGAAGGTGAAAGATAAGCAGCACTATTTGCAAGGACAAGGTCAAATGATAATGGCGTTGGGAAAGGGGGGGGCGAAACAGGCTATGGTGGTTTTGTATTTCTTTCCTACTGACTCTGATCACGAAAGGGAGACAAAGCTACATGAGGGGGAGGACGAGGAAGAGACGGGGACGACGAGGAAGAGGAGGGGGACGACGAGGAAGAGGAGGGGGACGACGAGAAAGAGGAGGGGGACGACGAGGAAGAGGAAGAGGAACATGAGGAGGAGGAGGGGGACGACAAGGAAGAGGAGGGGGACGACGAGGAAGAGGAGGGGGACGACAAGAAAGAGGAGGGGGACGACGAGGAAGAGGAAGAGGAACACGAGGAGGAGGAAAACGAAGCCGAAGCTTAAAGGAGGGAGGGTAGGGAGGCAGAAAGACATGGAGCTGGAGGAGAAGGGAGAGGAGGAGGACAAAGGGGAAGGACGAGAAGAGGAGGGGAATTATAGAGGAGGGAAAGGAGGGAGATTAGGAAAAGTTAGGTGGAAAGTCGAAGGGGTGCGGGGAGGATGCTGAAGGTGCGAAGTCGCATCACATGGTTGCGCCATATGGCACAATTTTTTTTGTTTTCTTTCTTTTCCGTTATTTGTGTGTGTGTGTGTGTGTGTGTGTGTGTGTGTGTGTGAGAGAGAGAGAGAGAGAGAGAGAGAGAGAGAGAGAGAGAGAGAGAGAGAGTTTGCAGAGAGAGAGAGAGAGAGAGAGAGAGAGAGAGAGAGAGAGAGAGAGAGAGAGAGAGAGAGTTTACATCCGTCGGTTGCCTCCACCTTTAGTGCATCACCTGTTGCGTTTGTATTTGTGAGCGAAGCTGCAACAGGTCATCTAGTAAATCCTAAAATTTCAATGTTCACAGGCAGCAAGAAGCAACAAAAAAAGGAACCCTTTGGAACAGAATTCAGGGGTGGCTCCTTGTGTTTTTTGGCAGATGCCCCTGGACTTCAAGCTATCTGGAGCAACTCTCGCTCACAGCCTCACACATACACACACATGCGGTGTTGGGCATACACCTACTGCAACCGCAGATGGATTTCCTTCTTCCTTGCCAGACGAACGACAGATGCAGCAGCCTGGGGAGGAAAATAGACTACCATATGCAGAGCGCTGTACTGAGAGTTTATCACCACCAGGGTGAGCTGTTGCAGACCAAATCCTGCAGCAGCTGAAAACCCTTGCTTTGGACCAATCTCCGTCGTTGTTGTGTGCCCATAGAGAGGGAATAAATACTGAGGAAACCCAAGAAACCTGAGATTAAGCTAGCATGTGGGTCGCATGCCTTGTACCATGAGGATTATCAACTTGTCAAGGGATAGCCCATGCAAGTTTTTGTCTTCATACGAATGATGACAGTCAATACTGCACTCATGTACGACACCCCGACATGTCATGTCCAATTTGTAGACGGGCTGGAACGGCAATGCCTCTACAATTGCGGTTGGCTTGCCTCTGTGTTCGTAGTATGTAGGAGCCACGTAGCCCGTGACATCTGTCCATGCGGTGCCATTCAATGCAGCAACTGCGACTGCGAGAATTGGATGCGGTGCTTCCACAGTCCACACCCAAACCGGTCCTGTCCGGTCTGTAGAGGTGGCTGCTTACCATAGATACTGCTGCTCAATTCAAAATCTTATGCAACCCAAACACTGGCTGGCCTTACGTGACATTCTAGAGTGGTCGGTTCCAGCGGTGACTATTTCGAACCCTGTCAGAATTCCACCTCCCATTTCTTTCCTCCCTCTTGTTGTGTACTAGTAGTAAATGCGTACGAATGAGCATCATTAAGGGAACAGACAGAATATAGATAGGCTGAAGATCCTAAGAAATCTGGGGAAAAATGAACAGGCATATACCTCCGCCTTTACTCTGCCTCCTTCCATAGTGTGCAAATGGGCAATTGTGGCGCACGGGGATGTGGGCAGCTCGCACTCAACCACAATCAACGTGGCCAGCCTTGTACATGAGAGGCACAGTAAAATGGGGGGGCCGGCAAGAAAAAGTGAAAGGGTTGCCGCAAAGAAAGCAAAATTGAACACAATTAAGAAAGGGATTTAAATACTTCTATTATTCTCCATATTGCTTGCTATAGAGCTGAAACTGTTTCATTGTTTCTCAACTCGTTAAAGCTTCTTTGATTTTTGGATCTACTCATCTGGGTGGAATAGGGGCTGTTGTGGTGAAAATTCAAAACACACATAGTGAACATGACAACACACACACACACACACACACACACACACACACACAGATCCTGAGATATTCCTAGAGTGTATGCATACCTCTGTAAGTAATTTAGTACAACATGGGAAATTTGGGCCCTAAAGGGACTTTGTATTTGACCGGCCGCCGACCAAAAAAGAGAAGATAGCCATGTTTGACAATGATTTTTCAGCCATCTTTCCAGAAATCTTTCTTATAAATGCCACTATCTTAGAGAGAGAGAGAGAGAGAGAGAGAGAGAGAGAGAGAGAAAGAGAGAGAATGGACACTCCGAATGGACTTGCGAGATGGGTAGATGGAAGAGTTGAACAGGCCAGACAAGCCTGACTGATTGACCAGACGATTGGGCTGATAGAGAGGAGGAACCTGTAGTACGGACGGATGGAGGGACAGATAGTGTTCACAAGACGATTTCGCTGGCACTTCACACTAACCTAAATTGGTCATGGCTGTGCATTGGCTGGTGAGAACGCTGTTCGGTATCCTGATGTAAATGGATGCTGAACACTTTTGAAAGAAAAGAATCGACTTGTTCACTGATCTGGCACAGGTGTCTGCAGCGTGGTACAGGATGGCGGACATTCAAGAGGCCAGGAGTGGAAGCGTTCCTTGAAGAGATGTCCAAGTGTTTCGAAATTGTTGTTTATACGGACCAGATAAACATGGTGAGTATGTTGCACTTGGCGGCTCGACCTCCTTCCTGATTTATCTGTTTTTCCAGTCCTGTGGCTTGGTGTGTGGTGACTTGATTCCTGCTGAAGGTCTTTGAGCAAACGGGCTGTTCGTTCTCAATGGAAGGTGAGGGATGTGTATAGAATTAGTATGGTGAAATCTGTGCAGAAAGACAAGTGAATTAGGAGTTGAGTGAATGTCGTTGTTTTTTTGGGGGTTAAACCACCTCTACATCTGGAGAATTTGAATGAGCCTCTCCGAAAAGTTGGGGGACTCGGGACGCGGCACGACTGGGGACAGGCGGGACTTTTTTTTTAAAATGTTCAGGGATGGGCCTAGTGCCACCGCATGGCATGGGACAATTTCTTTCTCGAATGGTCATTCGGATGCCTTGTCCCGAGCCTCTGAAACTTTAGGAGAGGCTCAATCACGATTCTCAGCTTGGCTTGCGCGATGTACTTGTCCTTTAAGGGGGGTGCAATTGTCAGTACGAAGAGGAGCTGATAAATGTGGGGAAATGTTTTATGCATCTTTTAGAATTATGGAGCCACCTGGGTCCCGGGTGGGCAGCCCGTGCAAGGACCAGGGAAGGTCCCAGCCAAAAAAAAAAAAAAAAAAAATCCAAAACATCCGGAAAAAAACTATGGCTACCAGCTGGGCCACCCGGGTCCCGGGTGGGCAGCCCGTGCAAGGACCAGGGAAGGTCCCAGCCAAAAAAAAAAAAAAAAAAAAAAAAAAAAAAATCCGGAAAAAAACTATGTTATGCAGAAAAAAAAACTGAACAACTTTTGCCTCAGGGTCACATCGAAATTCTGCACCAAATTGAGAATAAAAGATATTTTTTTTATTTTTCATTTTTTATTTTTATT